CTGAGGCACGTCCTTGAGTGCCGGGAAAGTAGGCTGAGCTGCAGTTACACTGTATCGTTGGTTTGATATCCTGTTGGTGCCTTTGGGCTCCTGCTCACATGGGTAGCTTGTACCTCCTCATCTCTGGAGCTGTGGTGTAGAGGAAGCTGGATTGGTGCTGATGAGATCTGGAGGGGGAGGATGCGGCTGGTTGAAGGGGAGCAAAGGAGCATGAAGATGTGGTGTGACATCAGGTTCAAGAAGGCCTTCAGAAGGACTATTTGAAGTCCTGCAGAGTGAGGGGAGGGTGTTTCTCTGCAGCTGACTGTTGGTGGTTCCCCGTGACACAGACCTGCTGATCTGGCACTGCCTCAGGGCTTTGGTCACTCACATCCTCTTCCTGCTCTGATCTGCCTGTCCTGCATATTTGTTTGTTCCTCACTTGTCCATGACCTCTGATAAGGTCTGTCCTTTCTTCATAGTTTAATTTAAACTTGAAGTGCTGTGCAAACACCAAGACCTGATGGGCTTGTAGGGAGAAGGGAGGGTGGACATGGACTCTGCCACTTGGGGCTAACTCTTTTGGTGCTTTTTCTGTTCTAGATATTGCTGTGGAGTTGCTGCAGAAAGTGGCTCCCAGTCCCATCCGCAGACTCCAGAAGAAATATGTGTCTCACGTATCTCGGTAAGAAGCAAAACCTGTCCCTTCATGTCCTGTGTCAGAACTTGCAGCTCTGGTCTTACCTGTGACTCATTTCTGTGCTCTGGACCAGCCACTGGCTTTGTGCTTAGGCCTGATTAGTGTCAAAGAGGAGCTGGAGTAGGTGGCACAGATGGCAGGCACAGTGATTTCCTGACGCAGCCAGGTCTGCCTTGAGTTGCTGTCTGGAGTGCATGTGTGCTCTTGTTACTCAGAGGCTGTATTGGCTGGATCTGCAGCTCSCTATGTAACCAGGTTTGAACCTGGAGTCTCCTCTTGGCAGCTGAGCCCTTGCAGCAGGCCATGCTGCAGGCAAGACTGTTCAGTTTGGACCTGACTGTGCCTAGGAACAGAAGCCAGCACTTTCTGCTCTCCACCCTCCATCCTCTGCACTTTYTCTTGCTGCAGCTCAGGACAGCTGGCACAGAGCTGGCAAGGCTGTGACCTATCTAGTGATTTGCTAAACTTTCCTACTGCCTGCATGGCGAGGAAGCAGCCAAGTTGTGCTGTGGTGCCTGGGACATTTGTAGCATTGGTTCTTGCCCTGTCCCACAGGGAAGCTTGCATCTCGCCCTGCTCCATGATGTTGGCACTGGTTTACATTGAGAGACTCCGGCACCGGAACCCTGAATACCTCCAGCAGATCTCCTCTTCAGACCTCTTCCTGATCTCCATGGTGAGTAGTGGGCAGGGGGTAATTGGGCTGGAGGAAAGCCTGAAGGAGTGTAGTGGGGGCTGAGATTTTCTCTTTTGTGCTGCTTTTAGATGGTTGCGAGTAAGTACCTGTATGATGAAGGTGAGGAGGAGGAGGTGTTCAATGACGARTGGGGAGCAGCAGGGAAAGTGGATGTCCAGACCATGAACACACTGGAGATGAACTTCCTGAGYGCCATTGTAAGTGAAACTGTCGCTGCTACCAACTGTTTCACGGAGCAGGTGAAAAGAGGCATTGAGGGGAGTCTGGATTTCTGTTTTTCCCCTCACATGCTCCTGTGAAGGKATAGAGAAGGATGTGTCTGGGTGTTGGGTGACCTGCCCTGACTGCACTGACCTTTAATTGCTGTCCCAACAGGACTGGAGTCTCTACACAGATCCTCGGGAGCTGTTTGAAGTGCTGAGCTGGCTGGAAGGACGGTAGGTGTTTTGGGTGGGGCTGATCCCTTCATCCATGTTGCACCCTGGCTCTACCCCTGCTTGRAGATAGCTCTGCTGCAGTGAAATAAGAGGTCGGGACACCTGTGAGCCTTTGCTAGGCTCTGCAGCTGCCTTACTTGGAGCTTAAGCCTGCCTGGGCTGAAGCTGCTTTGATGGGGAAGGTCCATACCACATCCATCATTCCCTGTTTTTTTTTTCCTTGCAGTGTGGCTGAAAAACAGGGCATGTGGCGTGGCTGGTTCACCTACACGGATCTGTGTGTCCTCATGGAGCAGTCCATGTGGCAGCATGTGTTGGGCCAGTTCTACCAGCAAATGATGAAGGTAAGGGCATAGAAGAACAGCTACTGGCAAGAACATGGGACCCAGCAGGCTGTGGATTTGGAGCAGAATCCTCTTTTCCACTGAGAGCAGCACCTTGGTTTATTTCCTGTTGAAAAGGGAAGCTGTCAGCAGATGATGCTGATTTGAAGCTGCACTGCCTGAGGCACTGCATCCTGGTGCTGGGTAGTGTGCCCTGTGCTGGACCACAGCCCCACAAGTCATGGTGCAAGGACATGGTGGTGGCATGGAGGAAACTGGGTGCTAGCTAGGGTTTTGAGCAGAAACTCTTGGCTTTTAGCTGGGGCATTTTGGTTTGTGGTATTTATGCCCTACTTTGGGCAGGCTGTGTGCCACCTACCATTAGCAGTGTGGCTGCCTGCTCTCTGGTATCCAGCCCTGGAGCTGGTGATGCTTTTTGCCATCACAGCTGCTGGGTTGATCATGGCCATGGTGTGTCATGGYTGGGGGGATGCTGCGGGGGGAGATCTGGGCTAACATTTGGCTCCTCCTTAGCTGGCCTGCCTCCTGGGCGTGGTGTACCTCACTGGCTTCGCCGCCATCTTCGCCTCTGTCACCATGGTGCACCGGTCTGTGTGCRTGAGGAGCATCAGCCCTGAAGCCCCCCGGCCTGCGCTGTTGCCCGAGGAGGGGAGGTGCCAGCTGGATGCSCAGCCAGCCCCAACCCCTGGCCAGCCGCAGCCCGAGCTGCCCAATGTGTCCTCAGCCAGCTGCACCCGTTGCCTGGAGGAGAATGAGACGACCAAGGAGCCACGTCGTGGGGGTGTCACAGCAACTGCGCTCTACCTGTGGGGCAGCGTGATGACAGCTCTGTCCTACCCAAAGGCRCCTGATCTAGCCCAACACAGGAGCCTTCTGCAAGGTCCTTTCCGGAAAGTGCCCACTGCCTGTGAGAGATCCAACCGTACCACCTCCACTGCRACCCCCAGCCAGCCTGGCCCCTTCGGACTTGCCGTGCTCCCGGCTCCTCCGGTGCTCCACTGCCATGCCTGCTCAGCCACTGCAGGCCCTACGTGGGATGCAGCCCCCAACCGTGAGGACTGGCTGGACCCCCTGGGGCTGAAGCAGTGCTTCTTGCACACTGCTATGGATCTCAGTAGAATCAAGAGCTTCATTTTTCCCAGCTAGGAGTACAGGACAGCAGCCCCTTTCCCCTTCCCTTCTAGTGTGGCACAACTCCCTTCCTTGCACTTCTGGGCCCCCTGATCCCTGGGACTGCATGGGGCTGGAGGCTYCTGCATTATTTTCAAACCAGCACTTGTGTCCCCCCACCCAGGGCAGGGATGTCGTTCACTTAGGGGCTGCTAGGACAGGTTGGGGTAGAGCTGGCTTTGCTGGGCTTGGAACCTACTAGCTGGAAGGTAAATGTGKGTTACCTTTGAGCTGGGGTGCTTGTGCAAAGGAGGTATTGTACCTCTTCMTGTAGTGAGTGGTGTTGGACAGAGGTGGAATATGGGATGTAGGAGGTTGGGGCTGTGTGTGCAGGGTGGAGGAGCTAAGGCAGTGACTCCAGTGAGAAGGTGGGATGCCTGGGGWAGGGGAGAGGAGGCTAAAGGAGGTGGGAGTGAGCTGGCTGGTCGTAGCAGTACTTATATTTGGGGGCTGTTAGGCCACTTCTTGGAACTTGGAAGAGTGACACCAAGCAGGTACCCTGATGTGGTTGTGCCCCACTGGGCTTGGTGGGGATGAGGTGTGGTTAGGGCTGARCTTCCTTATTCTGCTTGTGTTGAGTATTTTGAATCTGGGATGCTCTGTTACMCCACCCCAAACCCCAGCTGTCTGTGTCTGAGCAAACAATGTCTGACTGCTCCTCAGAGTGGGAAGAAGGCACCTTGTCTTGCTGACCAGGCTAGCTCATCATGCCCCTTCTTTTTACTGTCGATTTTACACCTGTTTTTCACTCTTTTGTAGATGCAAATCTCTTCCAATAAAAGTAGTTCTTGCTGTGTGCCTGCCTTGTCCTGCTGAACTCCATGCTGGCAGCATGCCTGCCCCACAGTGGAGCCACCTCCATGCAGCTGTTCCTGCTCCTGGAGCCGCTGTGCAAGGCAGATCCTGCCTGCTACCAATGAGCCCAGGAGACCTGCAAGGCCTGTCCTGCAGTCACTCTCTCGTGACAGGAGCGATACCAGGTCYGGTGCAGGCAGGGACAGCAGGACAGAGGAGGTTCCCCATCCTTGGGAATGCGGGGAATGCATGTTCTCCACTGCTCTTTGCTCTCCARAGTCTTACCTGTTAATGAGTGAGCCTTGAGTAGCAAGGGCTTGGCCAGGTCACYGACACAGCCACCTCTGCCCCGTGACAAAAAACACAAGCATCCMCTGCCTGTGTGCTCCTGGGATCCTTTTCAGGCAAGCAGGCAGCTCTTTTCTCTGGCATCCTTGTCCAGTGTCAGGATTCAGTACTCTCCTAAGAGAATGGGGAATATAATAGACCCCCATTAGAGACCAGGCTGGACCAGGAGGCCAGGGGGGCTGTGCTGGGGAGGAACAAGCATGAACAGGACGCATTGAGGCTGGAGGATGCTGGTAGTAGTAATAATATTTTAAGTATATGGAGGAAGAGGTGTCAAGGCTGTGACCGACCCAGTCCACAGAGGCAGTGATGGTACCTGGTCTGTGGGTAGTTGGCACTGTAATAGTGTCTGATGTCCTGGCCATTGCTGCCTGTCACCTGGCCTTTGTGGTGACAAACCAGGATAACACTTGCATTCCTGGCCACAAGGCCAGGTTACTCACCAACTCAAGTTAATGGCTAACCCTGGGGCAGCTCCTACAGAAGGTGGAAGTTCAGCCATGTGAGGATTTGTGAGGAGCTCACAGCTGGGTGCGAGCCTGCCCATCCTCTCTGCACCAAATACTGGGAGCGGTGTGGGGAGGCAGCAGCATGAATGGGGGCTATGGCAGAGCGCTTGGAGCTGGGAGCCCCACTCTCACATACTGCTCCTCACAGAAGATATGCTCCTGGATGCTGAGCTGCTGCTTAGCCCTTCAGGTAAGGGGGGACCACAGTGAGCAGCCAGAGAGATGGGATGACGGAGGAGAGGGCTGGAATCCTCTCAGATTGCAGGGCAGGCAAAGGGGGTTTGGGGCTCTGGCCAGTGTGTGCTGGGAGGGGAGTGGGCAGTAGTGAGTGCTGCCCAGGAGGTGTCAGCGAGCATCCACCCCCTAAGGGGGACTGGGTATGGGGAGCTGCAGCTCTGGGTGCTGCAGGGAGTTGTGACTGCTCCATCTCTTCCCTGCACAGCACCTGGCCGTGCAGACCTCCTTGCTCTGCATCTTCCACCTCCTCCTGCTGCCCACCCTGCCCCAGGAGGCACCTCATGCCCAGACCATCAGCAAGCTGCTGGCACGGAGCCTCTTTGCCTGTGGCATCTCCACTGTTCTGCAAACCACCCTAGGGAGCCGGTGAGCAAAGGGGATGAAGGGGGAGCAGCTGTCACCAGGAGGAGAGTGATGCCATGGCAGGACATCTTTCTCCTCCTAGGATGTGCGAAGATGAGCTTTGCTGGAAGTGGGAAGGGGCACAAGGAAAATGTCTTACCCTGCATCTCTGCTCAGTTTTCCCTCTCTCTCACRCACACGTCTAGAAAAACTGCAGTGCTTTCTCTCTAGCTCATTGCTGCCTTGCTCCAGCATCATACACAGTTCCTTCAGACCATCCAATGCTTATGCTGCCCACACAGGGTCTGGGTGTGGGATTTGGCAYAGCCTCTGACCTTGGCACACATTTCATGTGCTGCCACTTGGGATGTAATAGGGTACATGTAGAATATGGGGTGACTTCCTGCTGCTTGGGTTCTTACGWGCTTCCCTTCCCACCCATGTTCCTCTGGTAGCCTGGGCTCTTGGAGCAGCCCTATTCCCTTCCCTATCCTTTGTCCCTAATGTGCCCYTGTCCTCTTCCTCAGGTTGCCACTGGTTCAAATTCCATCCTTTGAGTACCTGGTCCCTGCCATGGTGCTGAGCTCCCACCTGTCCCACGGTGCCAGCACAGACAGGAATGGTGAGCACAGCCTGGGAGCCTGTGTCCCTTGGGACCTGGGTCGTGCTAGTGCCAGGAGAGTGGCAATGATGTGGTGCCTGGTAGGTGGGGTAGGGATGAGGGGTAGCAAGGCATCCTGCCTGCTGAGCCTTCTGGTGATGGTGCACAGCACTCTACTCACTCCTGAATGCACTTGCAATGTCTCTGGTCACTTCCCCACGGTCAGGGCTTATGGGGATGGGGATGCTGGCACACTGCTCCCTCTCCAGCCAGCAGCCTCCTTGCTGCATGCTCTTGGACACAGGTCCAGGAGCCCAGGATCCATGTATATCACACCCTTCCAAAATTCCCTTCCAGGCACAGGCATGGCCAGTACATGCTCTGAACCACATTGCACAGTCACAGGGAACTGGGCTGACTCACTGCAAGAGGTGGGTGTTCCTGGGATGGGATGGGATGGGATGGGATGGGATGGGATGGGATGGGATGAGGGTCCCTATCCAGCTCCATCAGCTTTCCACTTGTCACCCATATCCCTGTACCCCCAGTCTCTTTTCCTATAATTTGCTATGAACAGAAGTACAAAGGCAATGGGGATCATGATGCATGTCCATGTGGATTTCTCTGCACTTGGGGTGAGCAGAGCACRTGAAACAAGTGATGCTGCTGGGGCAGTGGGAGTGTGGCTAAGGGACGATGTTGGACTGGTCTCCATGTATCCTGCCTCACAGGTCCATCCTTTCCTCTTTCAGGTCTCYGGAGCAGTGCTGGTCTCTGGGCTGATTCAGTTGGTGCTGGGAGTGTCTGGCGTGTGTGGGTGGGCAATGCAGCACTGCGGGCCCATGGTCCTGGCCCCCAGCCTCTCCATCATCGGGCTGTCCGCATACAAGGAAGCTGCTTTCTTCTGCTCCACTAAYTGGGGTGTAGCACTGCTGTATGTGAGCCTGGGGCCTGCACTGCTGTGCGGCTCCTAAGGTTTTTTTTCACCMGGGGGCAGGCATGGGGCACCCCCGCAGTGCATGGCACATATTTGGGGCCCCATTACTGACTGATGCTGAGTGGTGATTTGTTCTTACTCTTCTAGGCTCATGCTCCTTGCTGTCACATTCTCCCAGCACCTGCGGTCCTGCCGCTTGCCCTTCTGTGCCTGGCCCCACGCTTGGGAGGGCTCYCCAGAGCCATCAGTTCCTACCCTGCGCACATTCTCGGTACCGTGGCTTGTCTGCTCCCTTCACTGTGATCAGGCTTCTCTCTCCGAGCCTGCCTCTTTGGTGTGGGGTTAGGTGAGACCTGGAGCACAGCCAGTGGTGAGAAGTCTTGCTGCAGCTCCCAGAACATGAATGCTGCTGGGGAAATGCTAGGGTATTGGAGCAGAACAGCTTGGGATCCTTCCTGGAGGGGTTAGGGGAGATGTGCCATAACTCCTTGGGAGATGTGACAGGACAGGATGGGGTGTTGGCCAGGGCAGGCAAGGGAGGAGAGTCCCCTGCTGAGGGTTCCTTTTTATCTTGCAGGTACTGCTCCCATTTGCTGGTGTCTGCATTGTCTGTGCCATCCTCAGCCACTTCCACATTCCCTGGGAATCACTTGACCTGGCTATGGCACAGCTGTCCTGGGCCAACAGCACCTTCAATGCCCCTTGGGTCCACAWCCCCTATGCAGGTGGGGGGCAGCAGGGGTGAGTGCAACCATCCATCTTTGGACAGGACCTCTATCCCCTGTCCCTTTTGCCTCCGCTGCAGGGGAGTGGAGGTGGCCGCTGCTTACCCCCCGGTCACTGGCAGTGGGCATCGCCATGGCCGTCAGCTGCAGCATGAACTCAGTGGGCTGCTACGTGTTGTGTGGGAGGCTGCTGCAAGTCCCCCGGCTGCCCCCTCATGCCTGTAACCGGGGGCTTTGCATGGARGGGTTGGGCAGCCTCCTGGCAGGACTGCTGGGTGCCCCTGGRGGCACGGCCTCCAGCATCGCCAACACCTGTACTACTGGCCTCACACAGGTATGCCGGGGGAAATGGGTTGGTAGGGGATGGGGAGGCAGTGGAGCAGGTGTGTGGGACTTGTAAAGGCCAGGCTGTCACGGAGCCAGCACTGGGAAAGGTAGCTGTATATAGCAGAATGAGGCAGGAGACAGAGCAGAGGTGATGCTACCCATCCTCACTTTCCCATTCTTTCTGCCAGGCTGGCTCTCGCCTCTCAGTGCAAGTCAGCGCTCTGGCGTGCGTGGTGCTGGGCATGTCCCCGAGGCTGGCAGGGCTCCTCACCCGCATCCCACTGGCGGTTCACGGTGGGTACCCTGCCCTGCCCCTTGCTGCGGCACCTGCAGCCTGCTTATCACTGCCTGATCCCTGCCCCTCACAGGAGGGGTGCTCTGCRTCACCTACGCCGTGGCTGTGGGCAYGGGAATCTCCTACTTCCAGTACACAGACATCGACTCGGGAAGAAACATCTTCATTGTTGGCTTTGCCATGTTCATGGCACTGCTGGTACCGCGGTGGTTCGGCACAGCTCTGACTCCCCTGGCCACAGGTAGGAGGGATGTTCCCCAGGCAAGGCAAAGCCTTGAGTCCCATGGCATGGTGACCACACACCTCCAGTATTCTGGGAGGGTGGATCCACTCATGGTAGCAGGCAGCTATTTCTTCAATCCCTGATTCTGCCATGGCTGCTCCTGCCCCTTTCCCCTGGCTGGGCTGGGACCTCCTGGCTGATTCTGGCATTGTCCCTGCAGGCTGGGTGCCACTGGACCTCCTCTYCCTCTCCCTGCTCATGGTGCCTGTCTTTTTAACTGGCTTCTTGTCATTTTTTCTGGAGAACACAGTCTCAGGTGAGGGGCTGCCCTAGGTGCTCTGCATATTCCTGCTCTGAGGACTGGATCTGTCCATGGGACTGTTTCCAAACCACCAGCTCTGCCTCTAGGCAGTGCTGTGAGGGTCCTGGGGCTGGTGTGGGCTGCGGAGGATGCACCTGGAGAAAGGGGTTTCCATTTYACTGCCTATCTGCCTGCTTGCAGGAACACTGGAGGAACGAGGGTTGCTTTCTGAGCAGCCATGGAAAGCCAGAGCTGGTGACTGTCACCTCCACGGAGGGAAGGGCGAAGCCAGCCACCTACATAGGTTCCCCACTGGGCTGAGGAGGCTGCTGCCATCTCCCTGCAAAGCCTTTCTCTGCTGCTTCCTCTGCCCAAGAAGTGAGGAAGAGGAGGAAGGCAGCTGTGCCACTGAGGAGGGGACTGCTGACCCTGGGGAAGGGACACACCTGCTCCCCAAACCCAGCACTGGGGATCTGCAGCCTGCAATAAGGCCAAGCCAGWCAGAGATGCCTGCATGGCACACTGTGGCCTGACCCTGTCATGTGGGGACACCTCATGTGCAAACCCGGCTGTGCTCTCAAGGCAGCTTGTGAGCCACTTCGCTCTTCATTTCTGAAGCCCTTGAGGACTGAAGGGACCTGMGCTTCTACCCTCCTAGAAAAAACCTGATTTCCCCGCTTAAGAGTGAAAAATAAAAACCTTCATCCAACCTAGCCTTTTGCAGGAGTTTCCTTTCCAGATGGGATTTACTTAGAGAAACCCCTGGTGCCCTGAGGACTGACATTAGARGGCAGGAGCACCTGGTRCCACTGCAGCTGAGGATGTGGGTGCCTCTAAAATCTACCATCACTCTGTGGAGTTGACTAGGGGCGGGCTCAGTGCTTTGGTCAGCCAGAAAGGACTGTCCCTGTGGCTCTGCTCAGCTGCTGGTACTGTGCTCAGGAAGGACTGGCTCTCCACCCCCTCCCTGCTCTGTCCCAGTTGTGCCTAGGGCCTCTCAAYGTCCATGGCACCAGGAATACATCAAGGCTCTAGCACTCCAGGATGCTCCAGGCTGGGGGTGCAACTCAGCTCAGTTTCCCAAAATGATGAACGCCCTTTCACCTACAGTAGGATGGTCTCAGTATGCTCACCACATAAATACCCCCTAGGAACTGCTCTTTTGATTAAACTAGTCAGTAGTGCATTTCCCTGGAGAAGAATGTCTCTCACCGCCTGGTCCCAGGGTGAAACACCCAAAGRTGGGTGCAGGGTTGGAGGGATGTGGTGGCACTGTGTGTGCAGGTCCCCAGGTGTGAGCCCTCTTTCCCCAGCTCTCTGTGACCTCACATCTGTACACAGCAGTGTAATGCCCAGSTCATCCTCATTCAGCCAGCACACCCACCTGACCCTAAATTCCAGCTGTGCCCAAAGTCCCACTGGGTTCTGCACTCCAAGCCTGGTCAAGCAACCTAGTCTGTCCTGCATTGCAATGTCCTCACCTACTCCCTGTCCCCTGGGACCCTGTCAGGATACAAACTCTCTGTGACCACCCTCCCTTGGCGCTGCGCTGTGAGGTGGCTGCAACCTGTATGCTAGGGAGAGGGCTGAGTAGAGGGGTGTGTGAAAAGAGTGCAAAGGGGAGACTAAAGGGCAGCATATAGCGGGGCAATTTGTAGGCCCAGAATGGATGGCCTCAATGTACGGAGTGCTGGTGGGGGATCACAGTCAGAGCAKGGGTGATGGGGTTTGGGAGTCAGCGCCTGGGGTAAGGGTGGGGCTCAGTGCGGAGGGAACGGGSGTTGCKTGGTGTGTCAAGCTGGSACAGGGCTGCTGTGCCTTGTGAGCYCAGTGCCCAGGCYTGGGGACAGAGGCACCCGCAGCCCCAGCTATGCAGGGCTCGCTGCGGTGCAGCAGCCGAGTCCTTGCAAAGTCTGGCAGAGCAGCGGTGCTGTGCCTGTCCCGGCATCACGGGACTGAGAAATAAACCTGGGGCCAAGCGGCAGCAGGAGCCACTCGCTGCCGCTGCCACTCCGGCCGTAACGGGTCTGTCCCCAGCTGGGCACTTGTGCCAGGACGTTTCGTAACAAGCGCAAGCRCAAAATGAAGTGCTACGGCATTGCGGTCCACATCAGCCTCTTGGCCGTGACACCCCTTGCGGCAACGGGGGACGCTCTAGAGGGACATGCCAGCGCGGTTCACTGTCCCCGTCAGCAGGCGGGGGAACAGCAGCACTATCCCCTCAGGCTCCGTGGAATGCACGGCACCTCCCGCGGCGCTGGGAGCCCATCCCGGCGTGCCCCGGCCCCGCAGGCCGCGGAAGAGAGCAGCATGCCGGGAACCGTAGTCTGCCCCCGCCTCCGGCCCGGCGCCGCTCGCCGCTCGCCGCTCGCMAGCCCCTGCCTCCGCATCCTCCGGCTGCCTGCTCCTCTTGCCCTCGGGTAATGCTGCGGCTCCGCAGAGCCCCAGGGCTGCGGGCACCCGCGGGCGCTGCGTCCCTGAGTGTTTTGGGAGGCGTGGAGCCCGTCCCAGRGAGAAGCGGGAAGCAGCAGTGTGCTGCCGGCGCTGCTGGTGTCACTGCGGGCAGGGACAGCGCGGGCTCGCGTGGGGCTCAGGGGCGGGATGCCCCAGCAGGAGAGGGTGCAGCACCCTGCTACCCAGCCGGTGCCAGCGGGTCAGCCTCAATGTTAATTTGGGCGTAGAGGTCTCGCCGTGTTAACGCCAGCAAGCACCGACTAASTCGGGGAGGCGGTGGTTCCACTACCATGCGCCTGCTGGTGCGTCTGGGATGCTTATTGTGAGCTGCGGCAGGACTTCCCCTGCACAAAGCTCCCCAGAATACCCGTTCAGCCCTGCTGCTTGCATGTGTGATGAGAGCTGGCTGGGCATCCTCMCCTCTGTGCTATCAGCTGGGACTGCATCGTGAATGGGCCAGCCGGGATTGAGAGTCCCTGTGAGGCCACCTCAGGGATCAGGTCTTCCTGGGTAGGGGTTGAGGCAGAGACCTGGTTGCTCTCTTGCAGATGGAGGGCTCTGAGGAGCTGGAAAGCAGCCTCCTGACCCAGCCCTGGGCTTCTGTTCGCTTTGGTGAGTCCACTTTTCTTGCCAAAGTGTGCTTCAGGGATACTGGCTATATCCTGCTGATCTCTGACCTGAGCAGTGTTTGGTACGAGAGTGCAGATGCCGAGGCTGTGGGACAAAGGTCCAAGGTGAGTGTTTGTAAAGGCCAGGGACCTCCTTTTCTCCTCTCAGCAGCTGMCATACCAGCATAAACTGCTTGGTGACATAAGGGCCGGTGGGTCTGACTGGGCTCAGGTATAAATGCCAACCTGGGAAGTCCCTGTATGGCTCTGCCCAAGCACTGTCACCCCAYTTGGCCAAACGCCCTCCTCGTGGGAGAGTGGKCTGCACTATTTGGCATGTCCAGGRCAGCCAGGTGGGTCTGCATACAGAGGCTGGCACAGTCTCTTCACTTGTGGGCTGGATGGGTGTACTAAAGAAGAGTTTGAAACAAGGCTACCTTCTTCCCGGTGACAGAGAGATTCTGTTCGCATTCATAGCTAGCACAGTCTCTCGTGGGGCATTCTGTCAGCTTGACCCCCAAAAATGCATGGAGCTGTGCCTCATCTCCTCAGCCTAGTCCATGTGCCCAGGCCCTCCTGTGCCACTGAAGAGGCATATCCCTGTGTCACATAAGTTGAGCAGCTGGTGACAGGAGGGATGGGCATATGGCTGCAGCCATCCCCCAGCTCTGGCAAGTTGTCCTGCTGCTGACTCTCAGCCAGCCTGTGGCACTTGTGCTGGCATGCAGAACAGATGTGCTAGGGGAGACCACTGCACCCTGCCCACCCTAGACTGACAGGATAGGGAAGCCTTCCCAGCTTGGCTGGTTTGGGAGAATCAGTGAAGAATGTCATGTCACGGGCCTGGAAGCCAAGGCCCAGGGATGGCTTTTTGCAGTGGGACATGCAGTTTGACTCCTTTGGTGCTGGAGTTTCTGCTGTTTTTTCCCCCACTGCTATGCCCCCTAACCTTGCCTTTTCCCAGGAGCTGAACAAGCGGCTGACAGTYCATGCATCCTCCTTCCTAAACCGCTTGCGCAGCCTGATGTGCCCCTTGCTGGCAGGGCAGCTRGATGCCACCACCTCCTTCTCTTGCCACCACTCTGCCAGTGGCCTCAGCCTGCATGTGAAGAGTGAGCTGTCAGGACTACCCTTCTACTGGGACTTTCACTGCTGCCCAGCGCCCTTGGAGATGGTGAGTGAAGCTGCAGAGAGTTCAGGGGGGAGAGTGGCCAAAATTGAGGATTGTCTCCTTATGCTTGGAGGTTTTTGAATAGTCTCAAGCCATGCTGGTGAGTGTAGGTTGCCTGACTCTGACTTCTGCCTCTCCCAAGATTTACTGTCCCCATTTCTTCCCACTGAGGCTTTGGCACCTTGGTTTGTGCCATGCAGTGACACAGGGATGGCCCAGCACATGCTGCTGTCACAGCATGAGTGAAATGCCCTCCTGAGAACCCACCTGAAGTTCTGCATTCAAGTCTGGGGTCCTTGGCACAAGAGAAATAGAGAGCTGTTAGAGCAGGTCGAGAGGAGAGTCACAAAGATGATAAGAGGGCTGGAGCTCCTTCCTAATGAAGACAATTTATGAGAAATGGGCTTATTTGGCATGGAGAAGAGAAGGCTCTGGAGAGACCTCGCTGCAGCTGTCCATTACTTGAAGAGGGCTTATAAACAAGAGGGAGAATAGCTTTTTACATGGGCAGGTTGTGATAAGACAMGGGGAAATATATTTTAACTGAAAAAGGAGACATTTAGATTAGCTGCTAGAAAAAATMCTTCATTATTAGAGTGGTGAGGCACTGGAACAGGTTGCCCGGGAAAGTTGTGGATGCTTCATTCCTGAAAACGTTCAAGACSAGGCTGGATAGGGCTTTGAGCAATCTAGTGGGTGATCGTGAAAGTCCCTTCCATGCCAAACGTTTCTATGATTCTGTGTCCAGTGTGGGCTGATGCCCTGCTAGTGCCCTGTCGGGCAGAGTGATGCTGTTCTCTTTAGGTGCAAGCCATGAAGCAGGGCATAGGGTGGCAGGTACCCACAATGGACAGGCAGAATTATATCGGCCTTATATCTCTCCGGCCTTTAAGGGGTGGCTGTTGCACGGGGCTGCTCGACGTGTCGCGTTTCCAGAAGCAGCCCCTCCTCCGGACCCCCGCAGGCGGGGCAGCGCTGTGGCCGGGGCTCCCCTCGGGGCCCTGCGTCCCTGCGCGCACAAGAGGGCGCCCGGCACCCGCGAACCGGCCCGATGAGCTCCGGCCCCGGGCCATTCCTGCGGAGCTCCGGCCCCGGGCCATTCCTGCGGAGCTCCGGCCCCGGGCCATTCCTGCGGCTCCGCTGCTGGCGGGAGGCAGCGCCCAACAGCCCCGGCGCTCCGCTCCCGCCGGGTCCCGCTGCGGGGCGCGTGTCCTCTGTCCCCAAACGGCTGCCCTTGGGCATCGCGGGGGGAGACCCGGGCTCCCCGGCTGCTGCGGGGCTGTCCTCACCAGCAAGGTTGAGCTGGGGAGCAAATAATCAGGGTCCTGGCTTGGCTTACCCCAGCAGCTTGATGTTCTTCCTCCGACAAGACGCACAGAAGCTGAAATGAGGAGGTGCAAAGCCCATGCTCCTGTCTGCTCCTCTGCTTTGTCTTGGACATGCACTGGATGTCTGCAAGGCACCACGGAGGTGGGAAGCAGCCAGGGTCCTGAATGTAGCTGGTTTGGATGTGGCAATGGGACCAACTCTGCCCCAGCCAAGGGCTTGAGGTGGGCATAGAGCCCATCTGGCTTGGCCCATCCCATTTCTGCTGCAAGTGCTCTGGTGGGCGATGGCCATTACCTCTGTGGCTCGTGCCTGGGGCTGAGCAAAGGAGTGAGAATGCTTCAGGAACAATGCTGGGTTTGCTGTCCTCTCACCCATGGATTCAGCCTGGCCACAGAAACAAGGGGCATGATCGGTTATGGGATCTCAAATACCCTTCCAGAGGCTGAAGGAAGTGATAGGAGGCAGGCTGCCTTGTGTGCCTGCTGGGCCAGGGTGGCCCATCCAAGCTCCGGGGCAGAGGACATGGCCAGGGCTCTGCATGGGGCTTGTGTGGGTGTAAGCTTAGAGGGGACACTGCTGGTCTGCAATAGGGAGCATGCCCAAGTCCTGCATGTTGGGATCTCTTCTGCTTTTGATCTYACCTCCCACAGAATGTCTCTCCTGTTCATCAAGYCACACTTTGACACCTTGSATTTTTCTGGCTTTTCACCCAGCTRTGCCTTTTTCTTGCCAGGAGCATGCCATGAGATGTGTGGAGCCGTGGGGAGGGTTTGGGTGGCACCTGGGGGGCTCTCTGTCACCTGTTGCACTGCARATGGTGGGTGGAGCATTGCCTGTTTCTGCACTCTGTTTCCATTGGGCTCTCCCACCAAAGCTCTCCCCTGCTGCAGCCCCCTGCTGTGAAAGGATGGGGCTGGGATGGAGGGATGTGAATGGATGATCTCGCAAATGGATGACCTCACAGCATCTGGCCTGCCTTCTCCAGGCTCACATCTTTTGTCCACTTCCTACTGGATGTGGGTGAGATGTGGGGGTGTTTTAGGGAGTCCTGTGTGACCTAGGCTGCAGCTCTTACTAGGACCTTGCTGGCTGCCTTGCTCTGACCACTCAGTGGACAGCTGTGTGCCTCCCTAGACCTGGACCTTTCCTAGAGTGTCCCTCTTCTATTTGTAGGTGTTCCGTCACCTTGTGCGGCCCCTGATTCAGATGAACCTGGCGCTGCAGTGCCAGGTGCAAGAGCTGACTTCCCTACTGCTCCAGAAGGATGCTGAGATTGAAGATTACAGGGAGAGTGGGGCCACTCTCAGCAGAGGTGAGGAGGGATGCTTGGGGCAGGGAGCAAGTTTCCTCCTTCCTCTGGGCTGGCAYGCTCTGCTCCCTCTGGCTATTTCCCAGCCAGGCTTGTGTTTCATGTTTAGCTGAGCCGGCAGCATGACAGTAGCCAGAAGGCTGGGGAGCAGCCTCGGGAGAGCTGGGGGAGGAACAGCCCTTGACTGATAGCTGTAGAAGTTGGGGAGTCGCCAAGGTGCTCTCCACTACTCTGAGAGCACCTGGCTGGTCCCCAGGAGGCAGTGGGGATGCCAGCAAGGGCCRTCCCTCAGTGGTGTCAGGCTCCCTTCCCAAGTGCCGTAGCTCAYTAAGTGCTTGGAGAGCAACCAGGGGCTCCCGGCTCTCCCAGATGTGGGAAGTACAGCTGTACTCATGGGCCCCSCTCCAGCACCCAGCCCACTTTGCCACCGGGGTGATGGGCAAGCAATAGCCCCCTTGGGTAGGACATGATTGAGGACCTGCTGGAGGAGCCCCTTGGGGGRCAGTTTGTCCTCCACCCGTGGAGGTTGGCTGGGCATTGCTTTTCAGGTCACCCCTTGTTACTGCCATGCATTGTCCTGCTGCCACAGCTGACACTTAGACTTCTGCAGGAACCTTGTCCCCCAGCAGGCGTGGACTAATGGGGGTCAGCCCTGGTTTGTGTATCATGTCCAGGAAGGTGTTGTGGTCCAGACCCTGTCCCATGACAGGTGCCCCACCACAGAAACCTGGATCTGCCCCATAGGTGCGCTAGAGCTGCACTGGCCAGCTGCACTTCTCTCTTTCCTCCTGCGTGTGAGCTCTGCAGGGCTTGGAGCAGCCAGGAAAACCTGTCTTGGATCCAGGTGCTGATGCTGGTGAGCAGCTGGCCTCTCTTGTTTCTTATCTGGTGCAGGGCAGAAAGCTGGCAGGAAGCATTGCACCCTCGTGGCTGAGCAAATCCAGCAAATTCTCCAGACAACATCTTAGCAGCAATGTGGAAAAACTAGCGGTTTGGACAAGGTGCAGAGCAGAATATAACTGGGGTTTGTCCCTCTCCTGCAAGACAAAGGCACAGGCTGGCTCACCCTTCAGAAGAGCAGCTGGACAAGCAGTGCCCTGTCCCACAGACTCAGACAGCTCATTTCAGCTGTAAGATCTGGGAATGGCGTTGAGCATGTCATACCACTGTTCCCTGCTCCTCAATGTGGGASGGTGCTGGGACAAGTGTGGATGGACTCTTGGCTCTGCCTGGGTGCTGTGTGCGTCAGCAAGCTCAACCATGTTTTTCCCCACTTCCTTGTGGTCCTTGCACCTTCTGCTAACCAGGTGATGTGTCCCTAGCYCAAGAGGCCTGCTGGCCTTTCCTGCTGATTCTGGGATGAGCATGCTGGAGCTTTTCCTCTGCAGCATCCTCACCCCATGGGCAGGGAAAGGGGAAGCTGGGGTGGGAGGTCTGGCCAAACCTGCCCTGGCTGATCCGTCTGTACCTTGCAGACCGCCTGCGGACAGAGCCCTTCCGGGAGGAGACGTTTCAGCAGAATTTTATGGCTGAGGTAAGRAGTAGTCCTTTGGCAAAGGGGTGTCTGGGAGCTGTCAGCAGCAGCTGYGGTGTGAGGTGTGCCAGGCTGGATGGGAGCACTGATGGGCATAGCTGGACTTGCCTAAAAAGGGATCCTGCCCTCTGGCTTTCCTATGGCCCTCTTTGTATCCTTGCACCTCATCTCTAGGGCTAGCAGAGTTAAGAATGCGTCTGACTTGGAGGATGGGAACTACCTGGTTGCTGGGAGCTGCCAGAGGTGCAAGCCAAGCTGACTGCTCCRTGGGAGTGTGCCATTTCTGGGGCATATTCACCTGTCTCCCACATTGCTCTGGACCTAAACATCACTGCTGATGGCAGGCAGGGATCAGGTGAATGAGGAGAAGCCATCTCTTTTTAGTTCACCTGTTGCTTTTAGAGATGACTTTGCAGTGACACATGGTGGAGACAAGTGGTTTTCAGCATGTTATACGTGCTCTGCCTACCACTGTCCCCTTGGTGCACTCAGCTCTACAATCAGACGTATGCTTTTGGAGAAACTGGGCCTGGAAGGAGACACTCTTTCCTCTGATCCTTTTTCTTTACTGGAAATCATCACAAGAGCACTAAAGTGATTCAAACTGATATGTCGAAGTCGGAAATGATTGATGCCCATTGATGCAAAAAGATTTGGGATGCTTCTGAGTGTTCCTGTGCTCGCTGTGAAGGCACAGGAGTGGGTAGCAGTGGTACCTGCTGRGGACCAGGAAATCAACCAGGATGTCAATGGTATCACATGGGCTTTGGGAAGATGTTCTTTCATGAGACGAGCTGATGTTCTTGTGCAGCCAACAATAGATGATCTGCAGAATTTCTAAAAATTAGAGATGATCCCTCTTTCATATGCGAGGCATTGCACCCAGCAGGCAACCTTCATTTCTCCTGGGTTATGAAGGATAGAGATGAATTCACTGCTGRACTGCAACTTGGAGGTTGCCTAGGGACCAGTGATCATGACCAGATTACATTCACCCTAGGCAAARAAAGGACATTCCTAAGCAGTAATTTATATCCTTCATGCCTTGAAAGAGCTAATTTCCCAAAGCAGGGGGAAAATTATGAGTGAAATCAGCTCAGAGGAAACATTTAGATAGAAAAATGTGAATGAAAATGGTGAGGTCTTTCAGAAGAATTTCAGAAGCCACAAAAAGCCACAATTCCACAATCAAGAAAGAGGCAGTGCTGGCTGAGAGCCCGTTCTGGTTCAGTGGCAAAGTGAAGGCAGCAATTAGAAATAAAAGAGCAGTTTATAACAAATGGGAGAGCGAGAGTAGATAGCAATCAATATAAATTAGAAATTATGAAGTGTAGAAAATGGGTAACAGAAGCTAAAGACATCAGGGAAAAATCATGGCGAAGAACAGAAGGAAAGGCTTTTATTTAGTGTAGTAGGAGAAAACCCCAAGCTTCCAGCAAGAGGATAAGCTTACTAGTAGACAGAGGTGGTAAAATGATTGATACTGGACCAGACATGACAGAAGTGGTTGGTAAATGTTTCAGTGCTGTTGCTGGAAGGGTGCAGGCAGATGTGCCAGGATAGGGAGGTGATGAAGTGTCTTTGTCCAAGAGTCATCTGAACAACATCTGCTAAAGATGAATGTTAGGTTTGAAATTCAGAATCCTTCAAGAGTTGCTGGGTGTGGGGCATGGGGSAAGGCGCAGAGTGAGCAGGAGGGGAGTGAAGCATCCCTGCACAGAGCCTGGCAAAAGCATCTGATGTGGAACACATCTGGCAGAGACTGAAAAGATGGGAAGGCAGTTGGTACTGTGTGTCCCGAGAACAGTCCAGGAGCAGTGTCTTGGGGCTGGAGTGCTGGGTGGGGAATGGAAGGTTCTGGGAGATGCTGCCATTCTGTATCCTCTGGTAGCCAGGTCTGAGCCCTGGCTGCAGGAGAGAGGCTGGTGGAGCAATGCAGCTGTGCATTTGTTTGGTCTGCTGGGTGAGTGTCTGTCCTCTCTGTGTTCATCCCATCTTTATAAACCTGCTGATGATGCTGTCCTACAGCAGTGAGCTGTGAACAGTTGCTGCCTTTGGTTTGAATGTGGTACCCTGTCATTCCTCCTGATGCCTTCTAGGTCTTGTGTTAGTGAGGGACACCAAATATTTCTTYCAGCTCTTCACCACCAAAACTGGCTCCCCTCTCTTGTGGCAGAAGGGTGGTCTGGATCACCTCATTGTCTCTGTGCAGGTATTTCAGAACCCCCAGGCAATTTAATATTATGTCAGCTCCTTAAAGGAGCAGCACAAGGAGCTGGGGTATCTCAGGATGTGCGGAGGGGAGCCAGGAACACTGTGAACGACTCCCATGTCTAGATTTCCAAAAAGATGTCAAACAATCAGCACTGGGTCACAGGAATGAGCTGGRGGCTGGGGAGAGAGCCCAGCATTGAGGGACTTGGAAGGGAAGAGCTCTGTCTGGCTTATCAGGGAGAAAATTGGGATTTCAGTGATTACAGCYTCGATTACAGTGTGTGAGGGTCTTTACAAGGAGAAAATGCTGGTTAGCRAAGAGCTCTCTTTAATTTTGCAGAGAGCAGTGGAGCACAAGCCAGGCACTGGGACACAGAGCCAGGCAATTTCAAGTCAGAATAGAGGCACTTGGGTTCGCTCCTGCAAGTGATTGGGGCACGCTCCCAAGGGCAGTGGTTGATCCTCCATTTCTTAATGTCTCCAAAAGTGGGCTGGGAGCCTGCCTGGAAGAAAACCAAGTTGCTGGGTTTGGTCTTGGGATGTGTGTGGTTGAACATCAGTGGACAAGAAGAGAGATCTACTGGTCCTTCCAGCCTCTCATCTGCAAAACGGGGCTACAGGTTGGGGGTGTTTGGTAGCGGTAAGCATCTTTTGACTGGAAAGGGATTGTGATGTGGGCAACTGCTCCACAGCTTTGCTCACTTCCCAGACCTTTGCTGTATCCCACATGGAGAGGAAAGGACCTGTCAGTCCCTCAGGGCTCTCAGCTTAGACATGCCCTTACTCTGGGCTTGTGCACACTTGGCTATCCAGGGCATTTAAACTAACCATGGGGAGCTTTCCAGCAAAGCCCTGGTAATATTTATACGTTTAGGAAATGATGCTTTCACACACACAGTTTTTGGCAAGGGTTCACTGCTGAGCAGCTGCCTGCGCTTGAGCAGAGCTGGAAGGAGAGCAGKGGCTGTGCAAAAGCAGAGGCAAAGCCGGTGGCTTTTATTGGCAAGCCCAGGATTTCACACCATGAGGGGAAGGAGAAGGAGGCTGGAGAGGGCTCAGTGCTTCAGGGCTGCCCCAGCACCGTTCCCAACCATCTAGGACCCAGCGGGTTGGGGATATTTTGTTCCCACATGTCCCTTTGGGTTACCAAAATGGTCCCACAGAGCAGGGTGGGGTGCCCACTCTGAGTTTTGAGACCCTGCCCCAACTTGGCCATGGTCAGCATTTCATGTCACAGCTTATGCCAGAGTTTGTGGTGCGACTTGGAGGGGGAAGGGTGAGGGGGTTCCTGTGGTGCCGTGCCCCCTGCTCTGAGGAGGGCAGGGACAGGTACATCGAGGACAAGCTCACAGATACCATCAGTGCAAATATAGCCCCCACGCCCCAGGATGCTCTGCCCTGTGTATTTTTATCTGCTGCGGCTGGAGCACGGGGGCGGCTGCTCCGCACCTCCGCAAGCGGAGCTCGGGACCTCGGCAAACAGGACGCGGCGGGTTCACGGCTCGACCCCGGGGCCCGGCGAGGAGGAGGAGGATGTACCATCAAAACAAGCAACGCTGGAGAGGAAGATAAACAAACAGGCAGCTTCCAGTGCGGCCCCGGCCGAGGGCGAGTGGGAGCCCCGGGGCCAGGGCTGGCGGTGGTGCCGGCAGCGGTGCTGGCTGACGTCAGGGCGCCCGGGGTCAGCATCCCTCTTATTGTTTCCCACCGGGGCTGGGACCAGGGCCAGGCACCCGTCCCCCTCCCGTGAGGGGACACAGGCCAGCGGGGCAGGTGGAGGATGGCCATGGTGCATTCCAGAGCCACAGGCCATTGCTGCCCTGCAGTGCAGCCGGGTACCTGGCTGCACACCGCCTGCCTCCAGCACCCTGCCTCTCCTTTTTAACAGCAACTAAAAATAAGCCCTGGGGAACGGAGAAGCCACTGTCTGGCCAAGGACGAAGGCACTGCTGGCCTGCATATTTTACAGGGTGGGGACGGCATCCCTCAAACCCATGCCAGCTCAGTGCAGCAGAGAGAAAGCAGCCCTTTGGCTGCTGCAAACGAGGGATGTTTTTAATTAGCACAAGGTAGCTGCGGCTTTGCAGCTGCAACCGGGCCAGAGTGGGGCTGGTGGTGTGAGTGTGACAGGGACTGTAGGTGAGCATGCTGTGGGTGCTCAGCTGGGCTGGGGTCCCTTGGTGTGGGGCTGGGGAAGGAGCTGGTGGCTAACAACAACAGCGCTGTTGCTAACAGGGCAGAGGTGGCGGCATGGGGCTGCCTTGTAGAACTGCTCAAATGAGCAGAGCAAGCTCACGTGTGCTGCCAAGTGTTGGTGCTGTGCTTGTCCGGTGAGCTCTATGGGTGCTGGTAACTTGTTCTGAACTGGGGCCACCTGGGGGGTCCTCACTTCATTCCTGAGCAAGCTTTGGTCGCACCATTCCATCAGTGCCCTGAGGTCTGAGTCCCACACAGGAAATGTAGTGRACCACGGCTGTGCTGAGCAGAGCAGAACACACACTGCCCTGCACACGTATGCTCAAGGAGCTGCATACTGCTGCAAGCAGGAACAAAGGGAAGGCTGCTCGTGCTCAGTGTGAGCACATGTACCAGAGCAGGAGCATGAGAACAAGACTAGGAGTGTGCATGCTGGCACTGATGGGAACAAAGGGCAGAGTGACACATCTGCTGGCTGAAGGGGACGGGGGACAGGGGCCAGCACTTTGTGCCCACGGTGGTGCACTTGGGGAGACACACTGGTGGTCATCCCTGTGTGGGTGCTGACCACTACGTGGGCACCAGCCCCCTGTGGTGTTTGCCATGGAGGTGCATGGCGGTCAGTGCTGCGGTGTTATTTATTTATTTGCTGAGGCCCCATCGGGTGAGGGGCACCCAGCCAGGATGCACTTTCGGGGCTGCCACCAGCAGCCACAGGCTGCTTGCACAAGCAGTGAGTCAGTGGAGCTGCATGCTGCTAAAACCAGACTTGGCACAGGCACCCCAGAGCAGCAGTCTGCCCAAAAGTGCCCAGACTGCGGGCAAGCAGTGAGTCCCTGGCTGCTGGACCAGGGCTAGGCTGGCTGTGATTGCTCCAGCCCTTGCCTCTGCCAGGGATGTGGATGCTGTCCCAGGGATGTGGGTGCTGTCCCAGGGATGTGGATGCTATCCCAGGAACTCTGAGGGGAGGCTCCTTCTGGGGATGTGGGGGTTTCACAATCCAATCCCCTGTGAGTGTGGCTGTGCAACTGTAGAGGGTAGGTGGCACCTGGACCAGGTACAGGCTGTCTGCTTGGTCCCAGCCCACTTCAGCCCAGCATCACCTGGTGGTTTGTTTGGGGATGGAGGGATGGACAAGAACCATCACAGCCACCCYCCCTGTAGTACTGGACTKGCATGTGCAYTGAACCCTCCTTTGCAGTCGGGGTGTTTCTCATCCTCTCCATGCTGTGCWGTGCCATGCCGTGCCACACCATGCAAAGCTGTACCGTGCTGTGCTGTGCTGTGMTGTGCCAGGCTGTGCCATGCCATGCTGTGTGCTGCAGGCAGGAATAGGGGTCTCACAGACCGTCTGGCAGAAGGAGCCAGACCCCGCTCCTGCAGGAGAGGCCCCAGCCCRTGCATGGGCACTGGCTGTGCAGTGCTGCTGAGGAACAGCTCGGCTCRGGGGATGATTGATCTTGTGTCAGCAGGCGGTGGTTTGAGCCAGTGCCAGGCCTCAGCTCAAATGGGAGCATTGAAGGGGGAGAGCCCCTTCCCCCTCCTGAAAGCAGAGCAGCAATCCCCCCACCAGCACCCCCAGCCCTGCTCCCACATCTTTGGCACTATCAGCCCCACGGTTGCAGGCAGCTGCCCAGCCCTGGGGAGCGCGTGAGGGGAGCATAGAGGTGTCTGGGGTGCCAGCCCCACCAGGCTGGGCTCTGGGGCTGTGTTTGGGTTAGAGGAGGACAAAGGGGGCATGCAGGGATGGTTGGCAGCAGAGAATGCATGGGGCATGGTCTGGCTCTCACCACTGTGCCTTGCAGCCACCTGTCCCAGCCCTGCAGTTCAGGATGTGGCAGCAGCTCCTGCAAGCAAAGGACCTTTTGGGGAGGAAAACAGGGTAGACTTTAATGAGGCACTAAAGGCACTGCTGTGTGTCAGCAAGGGATGGGCAGCATCTGTGTCCCCAGCTGRTGGGGTTTGTGCTGGGGTATTGCCATCTGTTGCTGCTGTCTCCAAGGGCAGAGGAGCAGTGCTGCCTGCACCCCTGGTGCTGCCCTCTGCAGCTCCCTYCACCCCTTCTGTGCTCAAAACGACTGTCAGGTTTTTTTACCATGTCCTAGCATGTCCTGAGCCCTTCACTAGCTTTCTCCATACCCACAGCTACATCCCTACTCCAGTGGCATCCACTGTCAGCTTTTATTGGTTTTTTTGAAAGCTGATCCCTCCCTATTCCATGGGCCAAAGCCCCTGTAGCCTCTTCCAGTTGTGCCAGCCCATGCAGAGGTGATACTGAACAGCTCAGCACATCTGGGCAGCACCTGAGAAGGGGTTTCTCTGCACCCCAGAGGGGTGAGATTCCTGCTCCCACTCTGCTCAGACCTTTGCACCCTATGTATCTGTGTGAGGAAACAGGGCCATTCATATATTTCTCTCTCTATTTATACCTCTCCCTTTCCGTATTTAGTGTGTGCGCAGGCAGAGGGGGCTGCGAATGCCGGGGCCAYTGATGTTCTTGGCTCCAGCACTGGCTGGAATTTTGTCCTGGAATGTATCCTGAACCGCTCTGAAAACACGAATAAATCTCTGTGTGTTGTGTGTGTGTGTGTGTACACAAATACATAGACAACGTATAGACATGGAGCCCTATAGGGCATTTGTGAGCTTTGCTATTTAAAGGAAGGAGCAGTAAGAGGGTTCTCAGTGAGGCAAACACCTCTGGATCAAAGGGATGCAGGGTGCTCTGCTAGTGACCAGGCATCTTAGAATATAGGTGGCACTCGCTYTGTCCTCTCCAGGGACAAATCCACCCTGTTGGTGACATGCTCAAAGTAGCAAGCTCACTAAGCCCCAAGCAGTGTTCTGATCCTGTATTGCTTACAATTGATTGAGGTCTTTGCTCCCTGGCCTCCACCTTCTCAGTGAGAGCCCTAGAGAACCAAGTCCCGTGCTGCAGACACAGGCTGCAGAGCCTGATGTGGAGCCCGATGATGTAGGGCAAGGATATCACCAAGTGGCCCCGGGCTTGTGGATTGTCAGGGGTTGCTTCCTGAACATCAGCTGGTGYTCACAGCTCTTGAGGAAAGATCATACAGAAACAGAGAAAATAAATGCTGGCTAGCAGATCCTAAGTATGTGCTGGGTTGAGCATCTCTTTGGGATGCTGCAGCCTCTGGTGTTTATGGCTATCTGGGAATGGTAATGATAATAAAATAGGAATTTGGTACCAGATCCCAAACAGGATGCTTGGCCATGCCAGGAGGGCAATTCTTGAGGAGGTGCTGGCAGCTGCCTTGCTGTGGATCCAGGATGAGGCCCTGGCAGGAGCACCACTGGGTCTCCCAGCACCCTTTGGCTGTGAAGCAGGCACCCTGTTTAGCCCAGCTTGGTCATGGTGGCTTCTTGTCTTCTGAATGCTGGAAAACCTGATATCTTGGGCTGAAAATGCCCATGTTTGGTCTCTGGCCAAAGGCGATATGTTTGTGGGTGGGGGAAATTGGAGCAAATTCCTGCTGTGAGTCCTGCACGTGTGCGCGGGCRTGCGGATAGGGGAAATATAGTTTTCCTTTTGAAAAAAAAAAAAAAAGCCCTGCTTATTTTTATACAGAACTCCAGAAAGGCTGAAGGTGGAAACTTGGTCTGTCAGCAGCTGTCACAGGGGAGCGGGTCCCTGCCTGAGTTTGGGGGGAAACCACAGCTGGGTGTTAATGGGACTGTTAATGAATTAATGTTGGCTGCTGGGGGCCGGCGGGGAACTGGCTCASTGCAGCATGAGCACATGGAGCCCTGCCCGCACAGGGGCTCCGGCACAGCTGCAGAAAGCCCCAGCTCTGGGAGCCACGTGCTTGGGGAGGTGTGAGTCTCTCTCTGGGTTGTGGAACTGTGGCCACATTGCTGGGTGGAGAGGGTCCTACATCGGGGACCATGGAAACAGCCAGGGTGGATGTGCAGCCTTTCCACTACAGGTGTCTGCTGCCTGAACTCGTGGTATCATTTAAGGCTGGGTCTATTCAGCTGCCGAAACCAAACCTTTAAGGCATTTAAAGCAAAGTGAAATCCCCCCTGGTTTATTTATGGGTTGTATGCCTGTGTTGCTCAGTCAGTGCAATGCCTGCAGCAGCACTGGCCTCTGCACAGCATTGCCTGYCCTTGGGGTTGTTTCTCTTTCTCCCCAAAATACATGGGAGGAGCACCCATGTGGATGCTGTGAGCACAGCCATGCCCCATGCCGTGGATTCAGCAGTACCTTTGCAGATTTTTCACAGCTGGTTTGCTGGGGACAGCTCTAGAGGAGGACAAGGAGGTCATGCTAACATGCTCACCTGATGCCAGAATGGTAGGGATGTGTGGGGGGCTGAGAAATAGTCACTGTATCCTGCTTGGACTGGAAGTAAGAGGAAAAATGCAGAGAGAGTAAATTCTTTTCTGTAGACTTCTGCTATGCCCTTCAGGCTCTGTGAATGAGATCTCAGTCTGTGGTCAAGCCTGGGATTTCTCCCTCTGGTATCAGACAGCTGGTGAACCAAGAGGAAAGACTGAACATCCTGAGGGACGGGTGACTGTGCAGAGAAAGGGATGACAATGTCAAAGAAGGGATGAGGAAAGAAAGATTGCAGTACCAAGGAGGTGATAGCTGTACTGGAGAAGTGAAGACCACACTGAAGTAGGAATGACCATGCCCAGCATGGACCTGTGGATGGACTGGTTCCTCAGCAGAAGATGCTGTTACGA